CTACGAGTTTGACAGGCTGCCGAGCCCACAACGTCCCTCTTTTTTTGTCCCTCTCGGTGGTAGAGGCTAAGGACCACCATTTTAGGACGATACATGGGTATCAACATCCAACAGAGTCCAAAAACTCTTTTTGAGCTTCTAATCTTTGTAGGTCCACAGGCGTGATTCATGCAGGGATGGGATAACATTATTAAAGCTGTAAGTTAAAAATATGTGAGGTTACATGGAAAGTAAATAGACCAAACCACCTTTTTATTGTTTTGGGAAAAAGAAGCAAGAGGCAAAGTTCTGCAAAAATGATACGGTAAACGGCCAAAAAGGACGGCCGAATTAAGCAAAGGTGAAAAACAAAAGAAGTTGGCTGGAAAATCAGCATCATATATAAAATGTTGGCTTTGTGAAGAGTATTAGATCTTGGATTTGGGAAATGAAGATGAGATCAGGCAATCTGTCATGAAACTCGGTCCATCACTCCAAAAATGACTAGTCACTTTACAACGTACTTGGTCGAAAATCTAGTTCCTACCATTAATGTGTTTTTGGTGGGATTATTAGATAGAAATTAAGTAAGAAAGTCTGTCGAGGGTAAGTATAAAAACACTAAACATCAAACATGTCATTGTTGGAAACACTGAGTGAAATTTATTTGAAATTGATTAGATATTATTTAATGGATAAAAAAATTTATAAAAAAATTTTAAAAGAAAAAATATTATTAATAAGTAAGTTTGTATACTTATAAATCGATAAAATTTTTAAAAGTTTATGTATTAAAAAAATAAATTATAAGATTTTATGGGATAGATATCTTATAAAATTATTAAAAATTTACGTATTATGAATGTATATGTTGGAGATTTACGTATTATTGATATATATATATATGTTTAAATATTTGTGAATAGATTAGAAAAGATTGAAAGAATCCACATAAGTATGGTATATGAGTGTATATGAATATGTATTTATTTTAATTGAAATATTCTATAGAACTAGAGATTCAGACGATTTATGATTATTAATTGTGAGTGTTTGATTTGATGTATGTTTATAATTTTTTACAATTAAAGGAGATTCAGATGATTTATGATTATTAATTGTGGATGTTTAATTTGATGTTTGTTTATAATTTTTTACAATTAATGAATATTTTTTATCTATAAACATAGATTAATTGAGTCTAATAACATTAAATTATTATTTTTATGTGATTAATTAATTAATTATTTATTTTTATATTAGCATGAATATTCAATGGAATAAAATTATTTAACATAATAAATGATATCAAAACTATCGTAATCCCCGTAAACAATGACTCATAGTTAGAGAATAATTAATCTAGTCAAATTAAATTAGAACATGGTGGGAGATACACACACTCTCTCCCACCAACCTCAAAGAAACTACTTTAAACACTTTTAACGTCGTCATTGGTTTTTTTTTTTTGAGTTGAAGAAAGACTTCAGAGTTATCCTTTTCTTTTTTCTTTGCTGTTTCTCTTCTTGATTGATACATTTTACACAGACTCTTTGCCAAACGTTCAACACGTAGATATATCATTTTAATAAATTAGGATGCGACACATGATTTTTAAATTATTACATGAATATATATATATATATATATATAAATTCACGTAGCTTCTTATTTTATTAGACTTATAATTGCCTTTATAATAGATAAAAATGATAATTTTGTAAAAATATTTCCGAATAGTATGCTCTAAAATAAGATTTTAGTTTGTAATTAACTATTGAGTATTGAAATTATACAGTTTCAATGAATTGAAAAACAATTATATCGTTGATATGTAAATTATTTTTTCTTTTCATCGTCTCTTGCTCGTCAATAAGTACAACTAGTTTAATTCTGTATCACTCGATTATTAACATCGAAATCCTCATTCAAACAATTATATATATATATATATACTAAAATGATAATAAAATAAATCTCATATTTATTAAATTTGAAATATTTATCCTGAAAACATAAAATGATAAGGGTTTTTCCTCTTAATATTTCAGTAGATTTTTAAATTAGACTAGAAAAATTATGAAACAGAATTAATAAAAGTTTATCACATGAAATATTTTATTAAATATTTTGTTAATGCAAATGATAAATTTTCATTAATTCAATTATTTTTATAAAAATAAATATAATTAAAAAATTTAATAAAATTAATTTAAAAAAATAATAGTGGTAGTAGAAGAGCAAATTATTATGGTTTGCTTGTCGTGCAGGGCGAGGAAATGAGGCAGATCTTTGGGAGACCAAAATTATTTAAAAGTACAAAAGCAGAGTAATCGTCGGGAAAACTAAATGCGTCCACGATTGTTTTATTTAAAAAAAGTTGGCAACAAAGTAGATAAAGTAGTAATAGCATATATATATATATATTATTTAGTCATCATGGCATCATTTTGACATATGGCCCCATGCAATTCTCTGATCTTTCCTTTCATTTTCATTACCGATAATAGCCTCACTTTAATTAAATACCAACAGAAACATTTGAATATCCGTCGCGGCAAGATGCAGGTTTGATTTCAGTCAAGCTATTGTGACTGAATGTAGACTAGAAATAGGTTAGACTCACACGTTTACTCCTTTCCCTAGCTCCTTCATTTTGGAACTTGATGTGACAAATTCTGTTCCCTAGTCTTTGCTTAGATGTACACGATAATATTGTTTTTTTTTTTTTTTAGTTTAAAAACTTAAAAGAAGAATGGCGCCTTATCAGTTAGGTTCACATGCACGTGAAACAGCTCTATCGCCATACTTAATTCCAAATCCAAAGAGCTCACCATTTTCCATTTTTTTATATGCAAACGACTAAGGAGAAAAGCTCCTGTGGGCTGTATCTGTGTGTCAATAGTGTTGTTGTTTAGAATGTAGTGTATATATAAAAAAATTCTGTACTTGATTAAAAAGAAAAAAAGGCCATTCAAGTGTTTTTAGTAATTAAGTGTTGGAAAAGGTCAATCATTTGAGTTTATTAAAAAATAATTTTAGTGAGTCAAAAAATATTAAAAGTTAAAGATTGGATATTTAAATTTATTTAATAAATAGATTTAATATTTTAAATAAATTTATTTAAATAAAAATAATTATTATATGAAAAATTATCATAATCAATTAAATATAAATAAATAGTTATTAATATAAATCATAATTATAAAATGCTCATGATCATTGAATAAAAATTTATAATATAAATATATTTACTAATTTTAATTTAAAAAATTTTAAAATTTATTATATCTTAAAGAGATAAACAATTTTAAAAAGCATATTCCTCTCGTCTCAAAACCAGATTCTTTCTTTCTTGTTTTTTTTTTTTCATTATTAAAATAGTCATAATCAGAAACATCTGTTTCGAAATTTTATGTCGCTATAGTTAATCTCGCATTTCCATTTCTAGCGACGTCAATCCAAGAAAAATCCTACCAAATCTTTCATTTTGCCCGCCGTGCCATTTACGACTGCTCAGATGAGTACTTTTAAATTTTAATGCAGTCTTGGCGTCAAAATAATGTTGGTAGATGTAAACTTTATAAATATGAAATGAAAAAATAGTAAGTATTTTAATCGATTTAAAGATATGTATTATATCTGTTGGACGAAATTAGGGGTTTTGAAGCTTCTTTTTTTTATTCATTAAGTTTTGAATTTATTGGTATCAAACTTTCCAAGGGGCCATCATTAGGGTTGAGAAAGTAATTTTCTTGGCGAGATTTCTTTTCACCCTGCTTCAATTCTCAATGATAAATCACGTTATGTTAGTAAGAGGACAATCTAACTGCTGCCTGCCCTTGGAATTAAGGGGCATTTTTCTTCCAAGTAACGAGGCATAAAGAAAGCTACTCATCGGAAATAAATGAACAAAAGCAAAAAGCAGTGGGAAACCAAGGAAAAGTTGCATGGCTATATGGACTGGGAGGGGACCCCTCCCTGTCTTAGGTGCGATTAATAAAGTAAAAAAAAAAAAAAAAAAACTCTAAAATGGAGTAAGGTTTGGTGAATATAAGGGAAAAAAAAGAAAAAGAAAAATTCATCCAATCCAAGAGTGGACACTTAATCCCTTTCCCACAACTTGAAGAAATTTCCTGAGACCATAAAAGTTGAGAAATTATATGATACTGTAACCATTCCCCAAAGTCCGAATCAACAAATTGACATGTTAAAGGAGCAAAACAAACACTAAAGTAGGCATCATTGTTAATAATTCACCAAAAGCTGTCTCATTTTGGATGTCATTTTCGCCAGTGTGTTTGGTTGGTTTCAAATTGAGCCTCCCTTCTTTGGGTAGTGAGAGGTTGAATTTCAACTGATGTTTACATATCAGAATGAGAGATTATCATTTTCCTTTTCCCTTTACTTGAAAATTTCAAGGAAAAAAAATAGTTTGGTTATGTTAATGGTCATTTACACAATTGAGGGATCTACATCAGCATCACTAGCATTTATCAGCTGCAAGCACTTGAAAATGATTTTGAATATTGGTAACATGCGTTAATGCTTAATGGGCAGAAATGACCAGAGAATATATCAGCAATTCGATGACAATCTTCCAGCTTTAGTATTAGTTTGTTCAGCAGAAATGAAGAAAGCAACAACGATCATAAATGATCAGATTTGGACGTTGCTGATAGGAAACTACTGCATCTACCATTTTAGGTTATAAAAGAGGTTGAAAATGGCGTTTCAAGCAGAGTATATTGCCTCAAACCCATGCCGAATGTTAATTGTTAACCTCATCAACCTTTGCTGTGTATTTTACCTAGGCAACCAAAAAAAGATTCCCGCCTGTATTACAGATGGGAATCTAACTTGGGAGTGTAATGGTTTCTGTATCTCACAGAATCAGGTGCCAATAAACGCTACAGAATTGTAGGTAAAAGCCAAGCTTGACACCAAAAACTAGAATCCTGATAAACGAGGGTGAAAAGGAAAAAGAATCATTAATACTATCTTTTCCAGAATCATGGAAATACTCGGCAATACGTACTACTACTATATATATACAAGTTATCAAGTGATAATAACAATATTTGGAATTAAACGATTATACAAGAGTCGAAAAATAAATAAGTGGTCCAAAATATATAAACCTCATACGTATCAAACATGAGAGAGGATGAGGATGTTACAAAATCAGGTTGGGCAGGGGAACTGCAAGAATCGGTTGATCACATGGCAAGAGGCTGCTGTCTACCTTGATCATTGTTGTATCCATCATAGGGTTTGGTGGACTTCCCAGACTTTCTCTTCAAAACTATAACCCAAGTAATCGCTTCCAACAGCAAGGAAATTCCGCCCAAGGCAATAATCACAATCATATAAGCCGATTTCCACTTATGCTCAGGCCTTAAGATATTGAAACCCTTAAACACATTGAGTATGCCAAGAACAAGTATGGCGTATCCAAAACTGTGGTGGTAAATGTTCCAGTAGAATCGGTACTTGTGCTCCTTCTTGGGTCTTAAAAACAACGCAAAAATCTAACACAGATAAACAATATATTCCAAGTTCAGTGTCACAGCATAAATGAGTTGCCTAGACAAAACAGAAAAACAAAAAAAAAAAAAGTCTTCCATAGCAAACACTTTAATTCACAATCAACAACATCTCAAACTTTAAACATCAAGAAAAGCAAGTTGACAAACTGAAAATCACCCAACAATTTATGAAAAAAATTCCATTTTGATGCACACGAAAAAAGACACATTAATTGATAAAACTATTGCATTCAAATTGAACAAATACCTGCACAGTAGCAAGAACGAAAAGGGCAATTCCAATATTTCTGTGAACGGAATATGTAATCCCAGGGGATTCACTTCCAAGCTTAAGACCAGTTCCCCAGCCAGCAACTCCTATGGCATAAGCTGATATTTGACAGAACACATGAAGGTAAAACCAAGCTGGATCTGTAGACTCAAAGGTTCTTATATACCGCGCAATCATTACTCCAAGAGGAAACAAAATTCCCCAACTCACAGCATTTAGTATCCCATGAATCTGTCATCAACAACATTTTTTGTCAAATTTAACAAATTTACCAAAAACCCAAGTCAATCTAGTAAACAGACTTTGATTTTTTGGAAAAAAAAAAATCGCCGTTTCAGTCCAAAATGTCTAATTTTAATAATCAAGTCCCTGAGTCAACAATCTCTATATTTTAAAAAATTCTAAAAAAAAAAAAGAAATATAATAATTTATTAGGATAAAATGGAAAGCCCACATTTTTACGCTTAACCCTCGTGTCTCCAGAACTACCGCTACTCTGTCCATTTTTCAAATCTAGGGTTCCTTTAGATTGCAAATTAGCTGCAGCAAAGTCATGTTTTTCCAACATGACTCCAGCTTCAACGCCGGGACCGACTTGCCACACTTGATTAATCGTCCCACTCGACGCTAAATCCGCAGGAACCTTAATTTTAGCGAAAATTGCCAAACTCCCGTCGCTTCTACTCTCCGCTGTCTTATCCCAAACCTCGAATGACAAATCCTTCTGCAAAATTGAAGAATAAGAGCTGACGTCGTAGGTATGAACGACGGCGACGCCGGTGGTGGAGTTTTTGTAGGCGACGATGGATTGGGAACCGACCATGCCGGTGGCATTTGGGTTTATGGCCCAGGCGATCCAGCCTCCGGATTTGGAAGGAGTCGCGATAAAGGCGATGTGGAGAATAGTATTGGAAGAATCGTAAGAGAAGTGGAGGTAAGAGGAAAGAGAAGGGAGGTCCAAGCAATTGGAGAAAACTTGGTTTTGGCTGAACTTTTGGGAGGAGCAGGTGAGGGAAACGGCCGGTGAAATTAGTAGTGCCCAAAAGGTTAAGCCAAGAAGAGTCGATGACAACGGAACCATTTTCTTTCTTCCTTTTTCTTTTTTTTCTTCAGACGAAACAGAAAACAAAAGAGCGACGGCTAAGTGGGTAAGGAAAGTTAATGTTGGCGGGATAAATAGAAGCCAGAGAGGACTTGAATAATGATTGATTGACATGTGTTAGAGTTTTCATTGTGGAAGGCCACGTGCTTGTCCCACTCTAAATCTAGAGGAAACTTCTGAAAAAAAATCATTTAAATTTCTTAGGTAAGTTTTAATGTTGAGAACTTAATTATATATCTGTGATTGGTGTCTGATCTGTTTGGATAATTATTTTAGATAGAACCAGCTAGCTGTTCGTAGTGTTTGACCTGTCAATTAAACAAGAACCATAGAATAATAAATTAGTTTTATATATAATTGGTTTCGCTAATTAAACAAGAAGTAAACGTAATAAGTTTTGGCAGGTTGTTAATGAGCAAAAATTTTTCTACCAAAGAGTAAAAGAAGTTGTCATATCAATTCCTTATTTAACTAAATTTGTTGATGAAATTATTTTTAAAGAATGATATTAATTTAAATTTTTAATATCAAAATTTCTTTTATATTTTTAAATTGTATTTTAAAAAAAAAAATTATCAGATTTTATTGTAAATTTCTCAAAGGGAGTTTTTCCCAATAAAACATGAACAACCCACAATTGAGAAATTATTCGTATCCTATTTGTTAATTTTTCCAATCATAATGTTTGTCGTTGTTTCTTTATTATAAGAATATAATTACATGTTACATGCAAAAATTACTATCAAAATTAAATAATTTTTTATAATTATTAAACAATACATTTGATAAAAATCAATATAAAATTAAACTAAAAATATGATGGGACTTATATTTGAAACCTACAAATTTCATAACTTTTTTCTTTGAAACAAAATTTCATTCACCTTAATTTAGTTTATTAACTAATAACAATTCAATTAAAAAAACTAATAACATTTTCTTTGAGAAATTTGAGATTTAAGATTAAGATATATTTTTTTATTAAAAAAACCCCCAACGTTTTTGGCTTTTTTTTTTTAAGTCCTTTTTCCCTTCAAAATTTTCATCAAAATATAACAAAAAAATGCATATAAAAACTTAAGTACGTTATTTGCAAACTTATTATGAAATGGGAGATTGTTATCTTTAGGGTAAATTAAATGAGCTGTTGTCAACATTAATAAAGAGATACTCTAATATTTAAAATTCAAATTTTTAACTTAAAGGCTTCTACTTTAAATATTGGGAAGAAAGATTACGATTATGAAATGAATATAGTTTACCATGTAGTTCAACAGATAAATTTTATTTTTATTATTATTACTGAAAGAAAATTCGTCTATAAAAAATCCAAAAGAAGCAAGAAAAGTATAACATTAGCATTCATCTACAAAAATTTATTAGAATAACATTTGTCAATTGAGTATTAGCTTATGTAGCATTAAATCATATGATATGCATGTTAATCAAAATTTGAAGTTGAGAATTTAAGAATACTTAAATATTTAAGTCATGTTTGGTATACATAATGATAGATACGATAATATAATAATTATTTTATATTATTTTTGTTTGTATTTAATTAAAAATGATAAAATTATAATAAGGATTATTATTCTCTTAATATAAGATAATTCAATTCTAGCAAAATAAAAAAATTATTTTTTAATCAATAAGATTAACTTTACATGTCTTATTATACTATTAAAAATTATATCAATAATTTAAATTGTATAAACTTTAAAAAAAGATAATTTCAAACAATAAATAAATTATTTTATCTTAATCCTTACATACATTAAATATAAGATTAAATAACATTATTTAATTTAATCCTATTTATAATATCATCTTATTTTAAGATAATTTTATATACTAAAAATGATCTTATTTTAACATTAAAAGTATATAGGAGTTGATAATTAAAAGCAAATTAAAATTTTAAAAATGACATAAAAAAAACTAATAAAATTCATCCCATCTTGCTTGAATTTGTTTCACATATATTGGTTGAACTTGATGGTCCGTGGTTGAACATTCAAAAATTTTTAAACAATTGCTTTTTATTTAAAAGTGAAATCTTTGGCTAATAATTTTTTAATGAAATGATTAAAAGATGAATTGTGACGTTATCCAAACGTCTTGTCCTACTGCTGTTCATAACATTTTTCTAACGGATCAATGCATGTGAAGGATGAGTTTTCCATAAGCCAACCTATAGAAATTTATGACTTCAACAAATTTAACTTGGGGAGGTAGGATATATTTTCCTTTACACAAAATATTACTCTTACCTGAAATTCAGGTGGACAGATGAAGACAACAGTCCACGATTTAAAAATAAAAGAAAGTATTAATCAACTATGGAATAAGTTGATTAAACCGCTGTTGAATTAATAGCCTATAGAATTAATAAGTCATTGCTGTTATCTGAATAAATGGATGTTAATTTAGTCCAAAAGTGGACAGAATTATCTTTTTAAACTTTTAATTTATCTTTAACTCTCAATTTTTATTTATTTAATTCATTAAAAAATATTTACATCTCTAAATTATCCCCAACTTGCAATTTTTTAAAAAAATTGATTAACATTTATATAATCTAAACCGTACTCATTTAACTCAACAAAACATATTTAACTATAATATATGTCTGAAAAAAGGATTCGTTTATATTAATATAACTTACACATTTTTTTGAATCATTCGATCAAAATTATTAAATTTTAAAATGTTATTTTATTTCAAATGAGTAATAAATTTAATTTTGATTCAAAAATATAAAAATTATATTAATATAAATGAATTCTTTCTTTTTTATATATATTATTTAAGTTTTTCAAATCTCGATGTCGTTCCAATCCATTAATTTACTGAAAAAGTAACTAAGATGAGTAAAAATGTATTGGCAAGTGGAATTAATTTGGACTTTAGAGCCTTGCTAGACAAGGAACATGAACATGACCTGAAAATCGAAAAAAAAATTTTTTTTTATGAAACGAATCTTTCTTTAATTTGTGAATAATGGTATCTATCTCAAACCTTCAAGTGGATTGAATTCACATACATTTATAAATACTATCAAATCCTTGTTTTGATCACTTACCTTTTGGAGATCTCGTGTTGAATTTGGCTTTGATTCCAACCTACTTTTGGTTAAAGCTCATTTTTTCATTTGTCTGATTAGAAGGAAAACATCCGTATTCATGCTTCTAGCAAGGAAAGTATAGTCATTAAACTATAAATAGCCAAAAAAAAAAAGAGCCATGCATCGTCACATTTAAGTAGAACAGCAAAATCAATTTCTAAGAGGAATCAAGATAATAAAAAGATCGATTCTTGTTTTTACTGTTAAAAGAGAAATGATATCTTTAAATTTATAAATTTAAATTAAAATGATATTTATAAATTTATAAAGGACAATCTCTTTAACTTTGATGAAAGTATTATATTAAATATAAAATTATTTTTTAGAAGTCTACAAACACTTAACCATGACTATAATAAGAAAAGCTTGTGCAAAAAGCAAGAAGACTCTCTATTTGTAAAGTAAGAAGAGAATATGATAAAGCACGCATTCCCTTCCAAGAAAAATTGGTCTTGGGTTTTGTCTGAACTCTAAATTTCATTGAATTAATTTATACAATTATTTTTAAAATAATATTTAATATATTTGAAATTTAAATTTAAATTTCTCTTTCGTTAGCCTGACCTTTTTATATATAAAATAAAATGGGTTTTGGTTCACAATTACATGCTCAACCAAACCCCTTAAGTTATGGACTTGTGGTCAAAAAATGGAGACAAGAAGTACATTAATGGCTTTTAGCCAAAATATAATTTTGATGCTTCTGTCATTGCTCCATTATTTTCAATATAATTCGTCGTTTGCAACTTGGCCTCTTTTTTTTGGTTTCTTTGGTAGACATATTCTTCGTAGGGGACAAACCCCTCAAGACCCACACAAGGCCACGACTTGGCGTGACTTGGAATTAACAACGTCCATGCCTTGAGAAAGGTGGAGTCGAGTACGGATTTTTCATTTTTGTTCACGGTCCAAATTAATCAGAAAAATAATAAAAAAGAAAATAAGTTTTTTAAAAAATAAAGAACATTTATTTTCCAGCTAAAAGGAAAATGAACGTTGGGGTTAGATGCTCGGGCAGTCGGGCTTAAATGCTTCACCCACTCGTACTGCCTACACGGTTTAGGCTTTACTTTTCGCCGTACTTCTGGTAAAAATACAATGTACTCAACAAAAGGACAAGAAAAGGACAATTATTTCATTCTGAACAACTCTAATTTTAGTATTTGCAGTCTACTTCTGCCAGGCTTCAAACACAATTCAATTGGTAAAAAAGGAAAGAATTTGTAAAAGTTAAAAACTAGAAAAAAAATGCCACAAAATTTTCATGATAGCTGGGTAATTCTAATTCATCTTAAGAATAATTATTAGTAAAACAAAATGAAGACAAAAGCAATAAATAGTTCCTGCTAAAATCATTCAATATCATTTATTTTTTTGGTTTTTGATAATAAATACTAATTACTGGACTCCTTAAACTCACATCAAAGCCAGTAAGGAAACCAAACCCGAGATCCACAATCCAGCATTTATTTCCATAAGCTTCGACCCGTCTCCCGACTCGTTGTTAGCAACTTGTGGAGCTGGTGCAGGGGATGAGGCACCCGAACTCACATTCTCCACCAACTTCAACTCTCCCAAAGCAGCCAGATTTGCTTTAGCAAACTCATGCTTCATCGGGTGACCATTAGAAACCCCTGGTCCAACTTGCCAAACCTGGTTCAGCTTCTCGGCACTGGCCGGAACTTTCAAGGAACCATATATAACCATCTTCCCGTCGTCGCCAGCCTCGGCTTCCAGATCCCAAACCTCGAAAGAAAGCTTTCCATCGACAATGGAGCTATAGGAGCTTATGTTGTATGTTTTAACAACCATGGAGCCGTTGTTTTTGAAGGCAAGGAGGGCTTGGGAACCTGCCATGCCTGTAGCCGTCGGGTTGATGGCCCAAGCGACCCAACCGTTGGCGTTGGGCGGAGCTGCTGAGAAGGCGATGGAAAGAGAGGAGTTAGTGGCATTGTAGGTGAAATGGAGGGTTGAGTTTAGGGTTGGGAGCTCGGTACAGTTGGAGTACTGTTTTTTGCCTCCGGGGAGTTTCAGCGATGAACAGTTGAAGGAATGTGTGGGTGAGATTAGACTAACCCAAAGAGAAAAGAAAAGAATCAGAGATGGACAAAAGAGAAACCCCATTTTCATTTTTCCTTTTTTTCTTTTTGCTTTCTGAAGGAAAGAGAGGAAGTGGAGATAATTGTGCTAATGGTTGATGCCGATTGATTGGAGATTTTTGGAGGAATATATAGAAGGAAAATGGGCTAAAGGAGGAATCTTGATTTGAGATCGATAAACATGGACCCAATAGTTAGATGCCACGTTAGTATAATATTTTTAGTGTAGACGTGGCGGACTCTTGTTGGTTAAGATTAAAATTTGACTGTCCTAACGGGTTAATTTGACATTTTGACTCCTAATTGTATTGAAGCGACAGGAAATAAGGTAGATCACGTGCACAATCTGAATGGGGTAGGCAAAAAAAAAAAGAAAAAGAAAGAAAGAGAAGTATAAAGAAAACAACTTACAATCGGTGGATTTTGCACGTGGGTGATGCGTGAATGTTACCGTTGAATGAATGAGAAAGGGGCCGGGGAAGGATACGGTGTGCAAGCTGTCACCAACGGGAATGCGAAAATAGTGACTTTCAGTTTTTTTTTTTTTTTGACTTCTTTTTTGGGTACAAATTTGCACTGTAAATAGATGTTAACCGTCGAATGTTCATTTAACGAGTGATTTTGTTTCCCGCTTTCAACATTTTCTCTTTTTGTTGCCGAGTGCCAACGGCGAGGACTCGGCTTTTAAATTTCATCTCTTAATACTCAAGTCCAAAAATATATAATTTTTTTTTCTTTTTGGTAAAAGGAAAATAGAATTTTATGTTCTGTCTGTTTATTTTCAGAAGAGAAAAGGTAGTATTAAAAGGGAGAATTCCAAAGTTAAGGGATATTTTTATGATAGTGTACCTAACTCTTTATTGCTTTCATTTTAAAATTTTATTATTAAAATTTTTATTTGGTACAAAAAAATTGTAACTTAAAAATAAGGTAATGTTTGGATGATATATTTGGATGAGAGTTTTTATTTTAGTCAAAGTTTTAAAAAATTTAAAAATAAATTTATTTATTTAGATAAAAATAAGAAAGAATTTCAAAATTTAAGTAGAAATAGGTGATTTTTCCAAATTCCTCTAAATCCTCTCTTTTTACTGCAAATAATCCACCATAAAATATAAAATTCAAAAAAATAAATATCATTTTATTTAATTCTAACATACATTTTTAGTTTTTTATACTTCAATAATATCTATATATCTTTTACAAATCTAATGATATCACTTCTTAAAATTGATTGTATAAACAAATTGAATTAAACTTTAAATTAAAAAAGATTTAGATTTATTTGTTATTATACCTAAATTGTGAAAATGAATGAAGATAATAGACAGAATTTCCAAACATCGCATAATTTATTTATAAAGTTGAGATTTATTTTTAATAGAATGATATCATTATTGTTTCAACCTCAAATATTTATTTAAAATTTACCTTACCTTAACCACTTGACTTAAGTCCAAGTGATACTTATAGAATGAAGATGAGGTTAATTTCGACCTATTGGTAAGTGTTTCATAGTTACATTCATATAACTCATATTCTAAAGTAAAATGTAAAATTATAGTACTAGAATAATATATGATTTTGCAGGTTTACAATGTAATTTAAGTCAACCAGCCTTATATTAGTTAAATTTAGTCAAACAGCCTTCCTGGCCTTGGAGGAGCTGAAAATTCTAATTATTGTATTGTATATTGTCTCTTGATAGAGTGTTGGATTTCTAAAGTTAGAAGATCATTGTTAAACTTAGTTTCAATAATTAAGAAATGTTTAAGTGATTTTCTAAACCATAGCTGAGATGAGTAAAAGATAAATTTATACTTCTTTGTTTACAAATTTACATGTAAAAGTGAAATTCTATTTTGTTGAGTCTGCAGCAATGGTTACTGGGGAAGAACTAATTAAATATCCTAACTGTCTAAGAACAACAGGCATTGATACAACCTAAAGCTTTAAAGTACCAAGCTCATAGTTGAGTTAAACCAAGCTGCGGTGCTCAAATAGCTAGTACCTTTTAGCCCAGAAAATGTAGTTCAACAAATTGAGGAAGTTAAGAATGCAAAGAAGGGTATAAAATAGATCCAAACGGGAGTGATTCAGATCATTTCCTCCAAGCCATTCTTTGCCAAAATGCCCACTGACTGAGTTGCTTATGGTTACCAGCGCCGAGCTAATGAAGTACCCCATGGATGTCGAGATCCAGGACAGTGCAGTACTTATACTTCTCATGCTATCAGGAGCCTCTGAGTAGAAAAATTCAAGCATTCCCCCTAGAGTTAACATGTCTGATATGCCTAGCAGCAAGTATTGCCACCCCAGCCAGAAAACAGATAAAATGACATTGTTATTTGCCGCCTCACGCCTCTTTGCCTCAACTGTAGCAGCCGCAGCCATAGACCCTGATGCTAGAGCCAGCCCCAATCCAATCCTCCTGAGTGGTTGGAACATGTTAAACTTGCTAGGAAGGTTGTTTTTTATTCTGAACAAGCGTACCAAATATTCGTACAAGGGTATTGAAGCAAGCATGATCATTAAGGGAAATACTGATAATGATTGAGCAGGGATCTTGAAATTGTTAAGGGATCTATTCATGATGTTCCCTTGTTGCACTGAGAATGTCATCAATTGGGCTAGGCAGCAGTTCATCATAATCGTGCTTGCAAAGATGGGGAGGAGGCCCAGGAACGTCTTTGTTTCCTCAACCTCATTTGCTGTAACGGTGTCACCAATTAATGCTCTATTTAAGAACCTGCATAATTTCATCATTTGTGTCAAATTAGAGTGCATTATTATGACTATTTAGAATTATTGGCGACAGCATGCTTGAAGCGGGTGCAAAACTGCGTATGGATTTTATTTATATATGCTTTATGCTAAATCATTACTGCGCCTGTCAAAGATGTGAAAATTTTCTTTCTCATCAGAAGATTTTTATTGAATTATTGTAGTATACATTTTGCTTCTCTATGTTGTTCCACCCAAGTTCGCAATATGATATTTTTCAACTTTTAAATAAGTGAAAAACAGTGGTAAAATCTGTTGGTAATTTAGAATGCGGTGCATTTTATATTGAATAAAAAATTATAATTATTGATAAATAAAATTAATTTTTATATTAATTTTATTCATATTTTAAATAATTATGATTGAACAGAAACAATTATCATATGACAAATTGTCACAATTATTTAAATATAAATAAATTATTATTTATAAAAGTCATGATTATATAGAATGTTATAACTATCTGAATAAAAATTTATATCTGTTCATTCATTATAAATAAATCTTTCAATATAATCATTTTCACTACTTTTAATTTAAAAAATTTTTAAATTTTATTATATCTTATAAACATAATTATTTTTAAAACAATGTTATTAATGCCTCAAAGTCATAATTTACTGTTACTTACCTGGACTTATCATGGTTTCTGTTTCCGAAAATTTCAATGTTCTCTGCCTCTGATAGTGACACTTTCCTGTTTCCAATGGCAGAAGCTAACACCTTGATACAACAAAGCCAAAAAAGGTAGCTCAGAAAAAAAAAGTAAAGCTATTAAGCCTTTACTTCATCATCCTAATACCAACAAAACTAAAATGCCCTAATGCATTAAAGAAAAAATGTGTCATCCAATTTTATTACAAACATTTTTTTTACCTTATAAATTCTTGTCAGTGGACTTCCGCCTGGGCGTTTGTATCTATAAATTGGAAACCCCATTGAGAAAATGCAAAGTGCTACACTTAATGTCACCACTGAAATCTTGAAACTCCAATTCCAACCTAAGTTTTCTTCGATCCAAATCATGACAGTAGAGGCGATGAGGCCACCAAAACATACTGAAAAGAAGAACCAATTGAAGAAGGAAGAGATAAGACGCTGGTTGCTGTGGTCAAGCTGATCAGCACCGTGAGCAGGCAAGGCGGCCTTAACGCCACCAACACCGGCTGCAATGGCATAAAGACCTGTATAAAGGATAGCCTCTTGGGACCTGGAAGGCTTGTTATTTATAGCGGGCTGCAGCCGACTGTCTTGAGCTTGAATTGTCAGCAGGATTAGTCCCTAAATGGAAATACTTTTGTTTTCTTATTGATTTGTATATCAAAATGAACATTACAAAGGGTAAAACATGAAGTACTTAAGCATACCAACAACTCTAGAGTGCAAAAGATGATGAATGTCTTAAATTTTGTGACGAAAGAATCACTGATGAAACCCCCCAAAATGGTGAGCAAAAAGGAGGTTCCCATGAAATTTGTCACCATATTTGCAGATTCAGCAGCCGGGTAATGCATGGACTTGAGAAAGTATGTAACAAAGTTTGTGGCGTTGGATAAGAAGACCATGTTCTCCAATACCTCAACAACTGCATGCGCCCCATAATACTAAAATCAATGCCATTAACAACAATTATAAACCACGAATCTAGCACCATTTGGTGCTTGATAAGGCTCAATCCCACTACAAACAAATTAATCCTAAATGATCAAATTAAGGCTAACTTACCACAAGCAATGCTTGAAGCTCTAACACCACCATGTTTTGTAGGATCTGCTTTTTTCCCTCGCCAATCCTCAAACTCCCCATATTCAATGCTTATTTCATTGGCCTATTAACATTGAACAGTGACAATAAGAAATTGAGACCGATAGAGACTAACATGATCATAGTCAACAAGATATTAGTGACACCTTTTTAGTTCTCATCAAAGAACTAATGTGATAATATCTTCAAAAAGAAAAGATTGAAAACATCAAGATCTGGACAGTTCAACAAAAATAAACCATAATAAAACCCTTTCTTAAAAATATGTCTTCAAGATTTTGAGCATGAAAAGAAGACAAAAATCTAAACTAAAAAAATACCGTGATGAAAAACAAATGAACCACCAGATAAGAGAGTCTTAGGTATAGTTTTTTGAGCTTACCATGAATAATTGTAGAATTTCAACCACTGATCAACCAGACCCTTTTTAGAAAATGAAGAAAGGTTGAAGAAAGGTTGAAGAAAGGAGAGCAGTTGAGTGAAAATTTTTATGGTGTAGGTACTTGCGCTATGTTTGGTAATTAATGAAATGGGATAAGAAGGGAATCAAGTAATGTACAAAGAAAGAAATGAAATAAGTCATATATATATATATATATACATATATATATTTGCATGTGGGTGAGTAGGGTTTATGCTTACAAAAATTGCAATTAATTCTTTTTTGGAGTGAGGCGGATTCTTAGGGCACCGGCACATGCATTTCAACGCCATAATTCTTCTGTGAAACAATTTGCATTACAATTAAGAGTGTAATCGAATTGAGTCGAGTTGATATAGTGAGAAGCTTAAGTTCGACTTCGACTCATAACTCATAGCTTGATACTTGGCTCGAATTTAATCGAATTTTATTTGTTAAACTCGAGCTTGATTTGTGATCGAATTCAAATTATTCGAATTCGCTTGATTAAATTTGATTAATATGTAAAAATAAGCTCAATTCGTATACTTGATAAGAGTTCGATTATTTATGCTCGAGTTCGAACTCAAATTCGAAATATTTTATTAATTAAAATAATAAATATATATTTAAATATAAAAAATCGATTAGGTTCGCGAGCTACTCGAGTCGAATATAAGAATACTTGAATTCGACTCGATCGATAAGTCGAGTTACTCGAGCTCGACTCGATAATAATCGAACCGAATTTGAATTTTCTTCGAATCAAATCTAAATAATTTATGAGTACTAATATATCATTTACACTTCTAATTGTAACTCATGTAATATTATTTTGAAACGTAAAAAATGGTTAAAAAAGAAAAAAGGACCGGTGTGAGCTGACATTGTCAAAAAGTAGTAGGTGAAAAATATGGAATTTGAATTCTCAACCTCTCACTGGACAAAACAAATGGAATTGTGAACCTGGCCGGTTTGGATTCCAAAATTGAAAGCTTTTCGTTTCTGACTAACGTAAACTTTGGTGTTGGAGAGGTGGACTGTGCCATTTTTGCGCAATTGGTTTGAACATGCGATTAAATTTGATAATTTGTATATTTATATTATATTATATTATATTTTAAATTATTATATTTATATATTAAAATTGATAAATTATCCTATGAGCACCAAAACTGTTGTTTTCTATTTTTTTTTAAAATCATGGACGTCAAAATTCTTAAATTACATAAATGAATTTATAGATTATTAGATGTTCATTTAATTATAATTAAAAAATTAATAGATTATCATAATTATTATATGGATACGTATTAATTATATAAATTCATTTATTAACCATAAAAATTACATTATCATTATGTTAGTAATTATGGTAATTATCAAGTTAATTACTTTAATTTAAAGGATTCATATATGCCATTTCTTATTAATTTTAAAGAACTTTTCTACAATTTACGTAGTTGATATTTTATAACCAAAATCTCTTTCTTTTTAAAAGATTTCCCTGTTTTCTCCCTAAATTTCCCACGTTTCTATTATTGAATGAACTTTATATACCACACAATTTGTCAAAAGAAGAAAATTCGGCAACTCTTTTATTCCTTTTTCCTTTTATACTTTCTTTTTCTTCTTTATGTTGTCCGTTCTTTTTTCCTTCTTTCTAAATTATGGACCACTTTACACAAAGATAACAACTTTGTTTAAAAAAAAAAAAAAAAGACTTGCACCAATTAAAATGTCTCTACGGATTGATTAAAAAAGTAACTAAATTTGAATAAGAAACGGAAATGAAAGAAAAGAGGGTGTGATTTGAACTAACTAAAATTTGCCTTTATGACTAATGGAATTCTAACTTCCATTACATTTTTATGGGAAATTAGGTGTGTTTGGAAAACGAAAGAAGCTAGTGCTTGAAAATTTTAGTTGTCAAATTTAATTTGGGATATTTTAAGTTGTTGTTGAATGACAATACATAGGGACTTATACTTAATTGTGAAAGATGATAAATAGTTTCATATTTAGAGTTTTAAGTGAACTTTTGTTCAAATCACCAAATTGATTTTATTAAAAAGAATTGTATGAAGTAATTACGTCGTGTCAATAATTTTTTTTTTCATTCAAATCATTATATTATTGAAAGAATTTATTTATTATAAAATAATTTATTAATATGTTAAAATAAGTATTCACTTTTTAATTATTATATATGATATGTAACAAATAATTGATTTTTTTTAATAATGTGATTACTGTGACATGGTTTAAATAGAAAGAATATATACTAATGTGACGCAATTGTTTCATATAATTTTTTCTCAGTTCAATCCTAATTGCATACCAAGCAAGTAACATCCTTTATTAGTTAAAGAAATTGGAATTTGAAATTTAAAGAACAAATTGGACCAAATAGTAATTTATAGAAAAAATTCAATAAATTAACCAAAGAAAGCGAAAAGAATTTGATTCTTATGATTTCACATTTTTCACACATAGCATCTTCTTGGTATATTTTTATTGAATATATATAGGTCATATTTGACGTATAGAATGGATAAAATAGTATGATAATCATTTTATATTATGTTTGGTTTAAATCTAATTGAAAATAATATTATTACAAGAAAGATAATCATTTTTTTGATATAAGATGATTCAATCCTTTCAAAATGGAGAGGATTATTTTTAATTTATGAAATTAAATTTACATATCATATTATACTCATAAAAATTTTAGTAATAATTTAAATTATATAAATTAAAAAATAATAATTTTGATCAATAAATAAATTATTTTATCTTAATTATTACACATATCAAATATACGATAGGATGACATTATTTAAATTTATTTTATTTATAATATCATTTTATTCTATCATATACTATCATAATTTTATTTACCAAATATAATTTCGTAATTTTTTAAACAAAAGGTCATGAGGTTAATTTTTAAATAAAATAAATCCTCATATTTAAAACGTCATTTCATCTTCAAATTCAACACAGTAATCAGTTATAATAACATAATGAATTATGAGGTTTGAAATGTTTTATTTTATTTTATTTTATTTTTTTTGAATGTTCATTAAAAAATACTTAAAAAAAGAATGATATGGTCGGCTGAGAAGGAGGAGGCCCAACATTGATAGCAAAAGTCGAGTTGAGCCTCAGCAAGCTTTCACAAACCCATGAAATTAAATTTAGGGCTGGATTTTGAAATAAGAACAATAAACTCTACTCTGTAACCCAAACACCAGATCACTCCTCTTCCCCACATATGCCCACTTAAAACCCTAGCTCCCTCCATCTTCTTGTTCGCTTTTTGTCGAGGGTTTACTGGAGCCGCAGCGTATCGTTTCCTTCAGGTAACTTTTTCTCGCTGTTTATCCACTTATATTTGATTTATTTATTAATCTCTTTCGATTTAATTTGTTATATTGGAGTTAATTTCTTCTCTGAATCTTAAAATACTTTCTCTTACATGTTGGCTTTTATTTGATCAATTTGTTATTAAGAAGAAATGGCAGTCCCTTTGCTGTCCAAGAGGATTGTGAAGAAGCGTGTCAAGAAATTCAAGAGGCCCCAAAGTGACCGCAAGATCTCCGTCAAGGTTATAACTGAAAAAAACCGCTCTTTCTAGAAGCATCGCCTTGTTATTTTTAGCAACCATTCATTCAAAGCTAATAGTTGTAATTGGTTGTACTGAGTTCATTTTACCAAGTTCTTAAAATTTTACTAGCTAGATTTTCCTAGCTGAGGAATGCGTTTTTCTTTTCCCTTAAATTGCTCTAGAGAATTTAGGTTAGAAAGAGCAACATAAGTAATTCAGGATGTGTTATTTTAATTTTGTGGACTCTTTTTTTTTTTTTTTGCTGTTTTATTGTGGATTTTGGCTGTTAGAAGCCTAAGAGTAACGTACAGACATTTTTCCATTTTTGATGATCATGGTGACTTGGGGATACCCTGCTAATTTATAACCGTTTGAATATTTTCTGCATGCCTTAAGAGAATTATTTTGTGAAGATGTTTTCAAGTTTAAAAAATTTGATAACTGGACTGCCAGTGGACTTGCAATCTTTTAGTTTGTCTGTTGTGCTGAATGGTTTGAATTCAGTTAATTCACATGCGTTTGAATGAGAGAATATTGGCAGAATGAGTGTGCCTTTTGCGTAGAATGTCTCATACTAGAGGTGGTTTAAGAGTCTTTCATACTTCTTGCTGTTTTTTTCTTCTTTCTATTGTTAGACAAAGATTTATTCAGGGTAAACTGTTTGCATAGATGCTTATGCAACCTTACAATCAGTCTGGATGGCTCTCTGAGCTCGTGAATTATTTCTCTTCTCTAATTCTTGAATTGTAACAACGAAGCTTGATTGTGTTGTTTGTTTCAGTGCAGCGCTGAAACTAAGCTCTTTACTTCTTTCATTCTTCTGCTTATATGTCCCGTGGTCTTGAAATATGTATATGACAACATTTTGTTGCATCTTGGCTAATTGATGTCTCATTTAGGTTAAAAACACACATACCGTCTCTCCACAATAATATTAACAAGTTATTTGCATATTGCAGACAAACTGGCGAAGGCCTAAGGGCATTGACTCCCGTGTTAGGAGGAAGTTCAAGGGATGCACTCTGATGCCCAATATTGGTTATGGCTCAGACAAGAAGACTCGCCACTATCTTCCTAATGGCTTTAAGAAATTTGTTGTGCATAATGTCCAAGAGCTGGAGCTTCTCATGATGCACAACAGGTATAATATCTGTTTAACCCTTCTTTCCCCATTTTGTTGATCAGCATTTTCTTGCTTGTTACTGATTGTTGATTCATTCTCAGGACATACTGTGCTGAGATAGCCCATGATGTTTCAACAAAGAGGAGGAAGGAAATTGTTGAGCGAGCAGCACAGTTGGATGTTGTTGTGACCAACAAATTGGCTAGGTTGCGCAGCCAGGAGGATGAGTGAAGATCGATCCTTGAATGTTGATTTTGCTCTTTGGTATAATATTTTATTGTTTAGGAAGTAGGCACTTTGAATCCAATGTTTTTAAGTATTATTTTGACTTGAGTTGCATGCTTTTTGTTGTGATTGAATCTAAACCGTTTCTCTTATGTTTTTAGGGTTTTGTTCTTTGACTATGTTTTTGACATCAATAACGAAAGGTTTATGATGCCGGGCGCATTTATGAGCTAATGGAATACCTTTATCAGTTATGTTACCTTTCCATCATATTTCTCTATAGGATGTGTGATAATGGGTGGCCTGGCCAATGTTCTTAATAGAAGAAAATTCATTTGCTGCTTTGCATGAGTTACAATGTGATTTAGTTTTGCAGGTTTGTAGCGTTTTTTTTTTTGCCACTTGTAGAGGTGGATTTAGATTATATAGGAAGCCAAAAGCAATTTCAGACATTAGGCTGTGATTGTTGCTAATGCTAGCTAGATTTGTTAAGCTAGTTTCTTTAAACTCTTTTGAAGGATGCATCTTTTCTTGCCCTTACCCCCAAATTCGAGAACAGGAGAGATTCCCAAGAGGGGTTTTGTTTTTGGTTTACTCGAGGAACCTTTCTTGAATCATTTTATCTTTTAGACTTTTATCTATGGGTCCGAGAGGGGCTTCTCTGTAAGGCGTCATTAAACAGACTTCAGATCCATTGGCTTGGTGGTACACTTGCCTTTATCCCATGTTATTATATTCTAAATTCTATTAAGGTTCTCATGGTAATATTGTAGTTAAAGATGCGAAATGTTCCTTGATAATTCCCCATGTTAAGTTACCTTGTCCTGTCTTCACTGAGAAATTCATCTTTTCCATTTTAGTTTTTGTTTTTGTTTTTCATTTTTGAAGTAAAAGCTTAAATCTGGCATCCTTTGGTACACGTTTTTTAGCCTTTGCCTGTGGCAAAGAAGAGGCATTTAACATTAATGCTTTCCTTATATAAAAACTGAAGTCTCAAGTGACTCAAGATGGCTCTAAATAAATGCCAACTGAAATCCAAAACCAGACACAACCATATCTTGTTATAATTTGAAAAAAAAAAATGCATGCACGGTTGAAATTTGTTCATTGAAAGTTTCGTACTAAAAACTTATGAACAGTTATAATAAATAATTCCTTAAAACTTATTGTATACAAATAGAAGGGGCTGCAACTTTCAATGAAAAGATATATTTTATTCTTCTGCTCATTTCCGAGAATCTACTGAGAAGAAGGGTCAAACAACACCTAGCTTTTCTTGAATAATTGGGGATTAAAACAGCCACCACTGTCATAAAGAAGGGTAGGTAATAGGTGAACCAAGAGGACCAAGCCACATGCTGATGTTCATGCGAACTTTTCATTTAGACTAATGTGTACCACGGAAATTCATTATGTTAGATGTAAAACTGATTGGAAATTAATGAAAAGCATGTGAAAAGGACAATTTGTTGTCAGTTGACGGTTAGTAAAGCTAAAAGATCACCCGGTCTCACATGACGGCAGCCTCAAAAAAATATATATATATATATATATGTATACATGTATATATATTTATACAATGACTCATGTTATAAGTTTAAATGTTCATAGAGGAATGACCAAAGTAGTTAACTGCTGCATTTGCATTGATGAAAGAGCATTAATTTAACCCTTATCCATGCCTTACTTGTCCACTTCAACTCCAACAACTTAATATGTTCGGTTTAGTAAATGAAATAACCAAATATTACTAACCACATGACTCTTTTTTGCATAGCATGTGGCTTCAATGAAATAAAAGTTTTTTTTATTATTATTATGATCAGATTTAATGAGATATAAGTTTTTAACAAAAAAGGTGACTTAAATTTTTATTTATTTTTTTTCATATATATACACACACATATTCATCACCATCAGGCTGTTGGCCTTGTCGTGGTCCATCCTGAATTCATTCAATGCTTGTCTTGCCCTGTTTTTTTTTTTTTTTTTTTTTTTTTTTTTTCAAAAGCTAGTGGATATATATTCCTCCATTTCTAACGGTGGAAGTCGAATACAAATCCGAGGTTTCATATTTGGTTTTGGATTTTATATATATAGATAATCACGGATCTTGGTGTTTGATTTTGAAATAATCGATTAAAAATTTAAAACTATATATATTTTTTATTTGAGTTACATTATTATTTATTTTATTAATATAAAACATACATGTAATGATATACTTAAAAAAATAATAAACTTATAAAATTTTAAAATTTGATAATTCAAAATAAAAGAATAAAAAATAAAATATAGCAAATAAATAATTTTATTAAAATTGTAAGTAATGTTCTTTTAAAAAAAATTCAACAATTAAATCTAAACTATTTTTTTTATATATTGACAACCAAATTATCTATAAAAAACTCATCTTCCATCTTATTCATAGTTTTATTTTGATAATCTTTATAGTTGAAATTGTTCACTTAGCTCATTAATTGTTGTAAATACAAATAAAAAAAATAAAAATAAATTGATCAATCTATTAATGAAATTATAAATTTTTTATTTTTTAATTTCTATGAAAATAAGATATAATTGTGATAAAGAAGATAAATTTTGATATTTCATATCGTTGTGTAAGTTATGTTTAAATGTTTCAATTGAAATTTTAAATTTAATTTATCTTATTCAATATAAGCAAAAATTTAAAAAGTTAAATTGATTTTTTTAAACATTAATTATAATTTAATATTTGTTATAAATCAATCGATTTTAAATATTTATTAATAATGATTAATAAGTCAAATAAATGGATAGATATCAATTTAATTTTATCTTTTTAATTTAAAAATTTTAATTTAAATTTAATGTAAATATGCATATACATATATGAATAAAAGAGAATTTTAAAAAATCTTGGGCCTTGGTCCCAAACTATGCTTAGCATCCACCCCACACATAGTTATATGTATAGAGGAGATGTACAAGTGTCAAAGTCAAGTACATAAATTAACTTTACATTGATTTTTCGTTTTCAGTGCCATACTTGTATTTATACTAAGATGTCTTGTTTCACTTATTTCTTTATTATATAATTGGATTATAATCCGTACAATTTATAAAATAATTTTATTTATTTTATGTGTATATGCATATATATGTATTTTTTAAATTATTTTCAAAATGTATAACATATATAAAAATTTATATCTAACTAACTTATCATAAAAATATTTTTAAAAGAAAGTAAGAAGAAAATGATATGTATTCACTTTATACCATTTTTATTTGTAAAAATATTTATACATCTAAAATTTATCTCAAATAAACATAAATTACATGTCTTAAAAAAAACATATATATTATCAAATAATAAATTCAATATTAAAAAAATATAAGCATACTTTCACATTTATAATTTTGTTCAAATTACTATACAAAATATAAAAAAATGTTAAGAGATGTTAAAAAAATAAATTGAAAAAAATTTAATTTTTATAAGCATAAACATGCAATAGTAATAAAATATATCTTAGAAAAAAATGCAAACCGAAAAAATAAATTACAATAACAATATAATTCTAAAAAGCTGTAAACGAAATAATAAAAAAAAAAACATATTACATTTATAGTTTATAATTTGTAAAATAATTATTGGATAACATTTAGGATTGAATACCAACTTTCAAATTGATATTAAAAAAATTAAAAG